TGTCTGCTACAATCCTGAGCGGCGACTGTGTTCAAGCTGGTTTGACGAAGGGATGCTTACAGAGTTTATTGGCATTCTGTCCACCTCCTCCGCCCCTCTTCACCCCTCCGCAAAGGAGGTGGGCATACTGCCAACTCTGCTCTGCTCGCTTCCCTTTGCCAAACCCTCCTGATGATCCCCACCTCCTCACGCTCCTCTTCATTTATTTCCACCTTCTGTTTCTGTTTTTTCATCCCCAAACAAAAAAAAAACATTTTATTAATTAGCCACATGTATATCTTGTTGATGTTTCCAGTCTATTCTGCAGGATCTCATCCATGCCGCGGCTTCTAGAAACCCTACTTTCCCTCCTTTTCTTCTCTAGTTTTCCCACTCCTTGGAGTTATTTTCTTTTAACACGTCCCGCACTGCCAGCGTTGTTGATGATCTTGAAAGCTTCCGTACGTTTTCCAAGTTGATGCGTGTGTTCTCTCGTGTTTAGCATCTAGGGTTTCTTTCCCCACCCCCGCCACCGCCCCCGCCCCTTTAATTTACACCCATCGAGAGTTATAATTTCCTCGCCCTAGTCCTTTTGATATTGTAATCGATGACTTCATCTTTGTAACCAGCAGCAATCTCTCGAGTTTGAGTTTCCGATCCTAAATCCACGCACCGGAGATCTCTTTGCGTTTGCATCTGGTAGCAGTATTTGTGACGTGGTGGCTGATTGATTTGAATGTGGATGGGAAGCCAGCGGCAAGGGCAAGGGGTGGGACTTGGCATTAAAACGGGGAATTAATGGCTGATCCTACTGCCCAATCCCCCCTTCTACGTAGGCTCATCATTGACGACTGACTATAAACTCCTAGGAAGCTCTTTTGCACGCTTTTTCATGGCGCGTGAACCTACCTCCCCTTCTGCTGCTGTTTCCTCCCTTCCTCTGTGATTAGCGTTGGCACTGTTTTAAAACCCGGACCAGCCGGTCGGATCGGTTGGACTGTCGACCGGTCTGATTCAAAGGAAAAAACTGTTTTTAGAGTTGAGCCGGGTTGAGTTGTTTCGAACCGGTGGTCGGACCGGGAACCGGATCCGGTTTTTGAAAACCGGACTGTTCAAAAAAAACTTTTTTTTTTACTTTTTATCAAATTTTTTTAAAAAAATGACTAATTTTTTTAATCATTTGATATTATAGTGTATCATATAGCTTGTTAAGTCGTGATAAATTTAAAATATTTAAGTTTTTTAAGTTAAGTAACAATTTCATATGTATTTCTTATATTTAAATTATTATATACATATATAATTTTTTTTAATTTAATTATTACGTCACCGGTTGGATCATTCAACCGGTTGAACCATACGAACTGTGAACTGCTGACTTTTTCGGTTCAATGTCCGGTCCGGTTCTGAAAACACTGACCGTTGGGCTATTTTTCTCGAGCGTGATTAAGATCTGGCCTGCCTGGCAATCAAACTCGCTTCTTCTGAGCGGTGATCGTTACTGAGTGCCGACACTCCCTGTGATTGGGCCCTGTATTTTCGAAAACCGATTGCACGGTCAAACGCGTCTTGGCCAAAGGCGCCGTACTTCACGTTCCTATATGTGTATGACCAAAATCGTGACCTTTTTTAATCGTTATACAATGTCTTCGCCCCCTAAACGATGAATTAAGTCATGTGAAGATGGACTTAGTTGGTTTAGCAGGGGAGATTGAAGTAATGCGAGTGTGGTTTGAACATATTCAGGCGGTGAGATGATTACTATTGAGAGGAAGTGGAAGGGAAAATTTGATGGCAAAGATGAATCTTGGCTTATTGTTTTACCCACAGTCTCCTTCGACCGCAAACTCCCAAGTTGGATGGGCCCATGGGAGTGGGAAGTAGGTTTCGGTGAAGTATAAAGATTGAACCTTTTTTTTGCGAGCATTTCATGTGGTGCGGTGCAAGACTTGTGCCAGCAGGCTATGAGACTCTGGGAAGTTGGAACTGAAAACACAAAGGCGATTATTATAAATAAAAAAATGGACAAAATATACTTTTAATTTTATAAAATATTTTTTAAATTTTTTCACCTCAACATTGTTGGTTTTAAATATTTTTTTATCAATCATTATTGTTTTAAAAATATTAAATTTAATAAATTAACATTTGATAATGTTTTATTAATTTTTAAAAATTTAATTTAAAAATTTATTAAAATAATTTAACAATATTAAAGTTAAAGGATTAAAAAATATTTTATAAATTTAATAGATTAAAATAAAATGTTATATAAAATTAAAAATTAAATATATATTGTAATTTTTTTTTTACCAACAAATATATGTTGTAGCTTAAAAAACACAAAGGCGATATGGTTCAGGATTTTTATCCAGCACATGTATCTCGGACTCCTTTTGATGCGGTGAACATTTAAAAGTCCCTTCCTATTTTTCTATAGATAATGAATCTATAATTTCTTATGAGATGTCATGGTCCTGAAAATGGTTTCTGGATCTATCGAATCCGAAACACTGATGGATGGACAATTAAGCCTTCTATTAAGATTTATCTAGAAACTATTTATTTTTAATTTATTTACTATTTCTTATTCTCTCTACCTTAAATTATAAGACAATTCAAAAAAATTATTGTCCTAAAATATAAGAGAATTAAAAAAAGATTTTATTATTTATATTTTTTAATATTACTTTCAAATATAAATAATTGAGATGATATTATAATATAATTATTAAATATTTGGGAGAACTTTTTAAAAATTTGTAGTTTTGTTTTGAAAAAGTAAATTTAAAAAGTGTTGTTATTATATTTTATTAGTATGTATAATTTTATTTTAAATTATCTTATAAATTGAGATAAAGAAAGTATTTTCTTTAGCAAGGATCTCAATAGTCTGAAAATGTTACAGTGATGAGTTTATGGTTTTGTTTTTCATTTAAATTTAAACTCACCAACAACAACAATAGCAATAAAATAATTCTTAGGGTTCGGTATCTTCCATTTTTGGGGCATGAAACAGTAAGCCTTTGCTGCATAAAACGATGAAACTAACGCCATGACAAGTTTGACAAATATCAAGCTAATCTCATCGGAGATGAAGGGCTTTAGGGTGTGTTTGGTGTTAGAAACGTTTTCTTTTTTATCGCTTATGGACAAATTTTATTGGAGAAAATTATTAAGGCTAATGTGAACCTCAAATGGCCCATAAACATCTTCTTGTACTAACTTTGCTAAAATCATAATGAGTTGTTTAACAAGCGAATAGAAAACAAAAAAATAGACAGGACATTAAATTATAATCCTTAAACTTGCAATAGATGAAACTTTAGAAGGAGGAAAATACATGACTAGGGCATGGAAATAAAAAAATTAATAGTTATTTTGCTCATTAAATGTCTAAGGGAATGTTTGGTTTCTTTTTTCATATCTTTTAAAAAACTGTTTTATAATACCCTTTTTAAATTTTTTAAAATAAAATGAAAATTTGTTTGGTTATATAATTTAAAAACGATTTTAGAATTAAAAAAAGACTAATGGTGATGATTATAGGCAATTAATGATGGTGATTAATAATAGAAATTAATCGAGGTAATTATAATTTTAAATAATCAAATGTAGTGCATTTTAAATAAAGTTATTTCTATTTTTTTGTTTTTAAAAACAAAAAAAATAAGAACAATTTTGGAAACAACCAATGAAAAACACTTTTCTAAACAAATTTTTAAAATTTTCTATTTTAAAAAAAACAGTTTTTAAAAATAGAAAACAAACATGCCCTAACTCGTCATAATTTTATCAATTTGCTAACAAAATTAATTGATTTATACACACATAAGCTGATTTAACTCTGTAAGAACTAACATTACAGACATACGAAATTTAAAAAACTTGAAATAATAAAATAAAAGTATAAGGATCAACACCAACACATATTAAAACTTTTGGGACCAAACTGTTGTATTTAAAAAAAAAAAAAGAGTTGAAGTTCAACTTTTTTTCAAATGAAGTTTAAGTTGAACTTTATGAATACTTATCCTTTGTTGGAGTTAAAAATAAAAACAAGAATTTAACTTAAAAATTATATTTAGTTTGAAAAACAAAAATTAAACTTGCTGGCAAATAAAAAAAAAAAATGAAATGAGCACACCAATGATAAATTTTCTAGCTACTTAACTTCCTATTAACTAAAATAGGCACGCTCCTAGAAGTTCTATGCTAATCTAACAACCCCCTCCTTCCCAAGGGAAAATTATGACAATTTTGAAGGATAATTTGATTCATTTTATATGGAAAATTACAAAACTTTTAACAGCATCTAATATATATATATATATATATATATTTTCTCTCTAATGCATTCCTTTTCAAAGTATGAAATGATTTGCTATAAATGTTGTATTGCTCCCTCCAGTCCTACCTAGGGAGAGATGATTTTTTTTATTCTATTCATAAAAAATATTATTATATTTTCATCATAAATTTTTCATTTTACTTTTTATTAAATATTAATAAAAAAAATATATTATTAAAATATGTATATTTAATAACAATAAAGTTAAAAATTTATTAAATTTTTATACTGTATTGATGAATTTTAAAAGTTTTCTTGATTCCACATGTTTGATCAAAGAAATTTAAACTTATAAATAAAATTAAATGAGCAACTGATAAAGTAGGGACCAAAAAAAAGTAAATCTAAAAAATAAAAGCAGCTTTAAGACATACGTTAGTTCAGTTTAATTGGTACTTCCTCCATCTCAACTACAAGTAAAAGCTACCGAAATTTCAGGGTCTCAGTTATAAGCAAAAGCTACATAATTTAAGTGTAATTAATGTTAGTCTGATTGGGTAATTTTTGTTTGATATTAGAGAGACGGAGTAGTTTCAACCGGTTTATGAATATGACTGCTGATTATTGTTCTGTCTCCAAGCAGCAACTGCTTTGGCCTTTGGTTGAAAAAGCGCTCGTATGATTAACAGGGCACGTTGTGGAGGCTTGGTAGCGGAATAACCAAGCTACCTAAGCGATGTAAGCGTTGCCTTTCAGTTTTTGATGTGTTTGTGCATCCATAGCAACAACGGGTCTGAAGAACCCTAGATTAGTTGATCGTCGTGTTTGAGACTTGAGAGATTCACACAAGAATGACTGCTTTAAACACCTACCTAGTAGTTACATCAGTCAAAAGAAGAGACAATTGGAAGACGGATGAGGCGAGAAAGGCAGTTGTAATCCATCTCAGACAAGCGATTCCCGAAATAAACGAGCACATGGTGGTGGGAGCTACTTTGTGCTTCTGTCTCCGTAATCATACAGCATACCTAACCTCTCTTCATCAAAAAAATATTTCGATTGTGATGAGGCAGGTTGCTGGCGGCATCATCTATGTAAATGAGATCATCTATCCTTGCCAGTACGTTGAAGGCCAAGCTTTCCATCACTCTCGAGTAGCTCTCTAGGATTGCTTGCCCTACATCCTGTCACATTACATCAAATATTTATTCATATTTTCATACTTCTAATTGAAGCTCCTCTCCCTCTTTTTTCTAGTTTTATCCCACGTGTTTGTGTGTTCTAACATGACTTGACCGGCAAATCTGATTGTAACTGTGAGTGTGAAAGAGGGCATGGATTTTGCTTTTCTACAACATCACAATTTTTTCAAGGTTGTTAACATCTCTAAATGAAAATGAAGCACAGTACTAGTATTTTAAATAGTGGCGTATTTTGAGAGACATACCTTGTTGTTCTGTATCTTGCTCATGTCCAAAGCAGTCTGGGGCAGGCCAGGGAACTTTTGTCTCAAATTCTGCAGTAGGGTTTCAGCACGCTGTGCTAGAAGCTTGTGTTTTTTCGTGTGACTCACCATGCCCTTGACCTTGCCACTCCACGAAGATTTTCTACCCTTCCTACGAATTACATGCCCTTTTATGTGTTTCTGCCTCCAGATGTGCATGGATGCCTCCATTCTGTTTGCTATTTCCAGAGTTGAATATTCAGATGATAGGCCTAGGTAATCCAGAACACACTCAGAGGAGAACTTATCAGCACATAAAAAGTTATATATGATGTCCCCCACTAGAGCTCTGCCACTCTGAAAGTACATCATATAATGTTGATTCAAATTATTATTCAACAGAGCATAAACAAAGAAAGAGGAAAGGCTATACAAGCAGCTGTTGAATTGTGTTGATTTGGTATTTTCATTTTTCTGCATGGCTTGCTATATAACAATTTTCACACTGCCACAAAGTGTCACCCCCGCAGGGTTACAACAGGTGGTTTTGAGTTTGAATCCAATGTGAACATACTATTGTTCCGTAGAAGCTCCAGGTTGCCATATGATTCACTACCAGGACACATTCCTCGCATCAGATAACAATTGCACTGACGCTCATCTTAGCCTTGTGGCTCAAGTTGTAAAGGTAATTGCTATCATGATGTGTGAGTCTTTATTGTATATCTTGGGTACATGATACACAACGGGAGAAAAAAACCAAAAATTCACAATGTTTCCTTCATGCTCTGTGTCAAGCAGTTCTCAAGTGCAATAACAAAAGTTAAGATAAAACTGATATCACTCCATAACCTCACCCAATCTTTATTATCAGCATTAGTATTAGTATTAGTATTTTCATCGATCCGTATATGTTCACATGATAGAGCAAGTTATGTATCATACCTTAGGTAAGTTATCCAAGTAAATATGTGGGATTTTCATTTCAGAAAGCACAGTGCTATTAATAGCCAGCGCAGCCTTGAGAATCTGGTGCGTGCATTCCCTGGACTGTTGCAATCTCTTCCTCATGTCTTGAGAGAGACCATGCTGGGGCACCTTAGGAAATGGGAGCCACCACTTCTCTTCCTGCCATATTGATGGCCTACCAGAAGATGCCGAAAGAGGGAACATGTTAGTCTCAGTTTCAGGAGCCACATCAAGATCAACTATAACCCCACGATCAACGTAATAAAACTCTGAATCCCTGAATCCATCAAGAATGCCCAGCAGCATGGAATCAAGTTTCTTGAGTGCTGGAAGATTCAGGTGTATATCAGGTCGGACCCTGGGGACCATAGTTTCAAAGGTACCGCCACCGGGGAAATCTCGTGTGGAAGGAACCAGTTCAACAATTGAATCACTCACACATAACAACCAATCCATTTCCCGCTCCCACATGGATCTCTTCTGTGGCGCTAAAGGCTCTAACCTCCACAACTCTCCAAATACACTAGCTGTCAAATTTCAAATAATATTACTCGAGGGCTAAACCAACCCTACTCACCTGAGTTAACAAACAAAAGATGACTCAGAAAGTAATTAACAAAGCAAGCGTCAATAGACCACCAACCCGAGAGATTGGTTATGGCATTGGAAATAGCGAGCGCCGAACAAACTCCCTTCCCTCCGCCTGACATATCCTCTCCCAGCAGAAGTTTTGCAAACCGCTCTTTCATCATTTCAACTTCTACATTACGCAGCCGGGGATTAAGGGGGGAAAAAAGGTCCGCTTTACACCAAAATCATGCAAAATACTCGTGGAAAATCGACGAGGGAAAGTAAAAGAGAGTCTAAAATGAAAGGAGACTCGGGTAAGGGAAAGAACGGGAAAAATGGGAGAAAATGCCCAGAGCTGAGAGTTGAGAGATTACCGAGCTCCGGCGCCGGGAAATTGGAATGATGAATGGGGGTGATAGGCAGAGAAATCGAATTGTTATGATCGTAATTGCTTAAGCTCTCGGAGCTGCACGCTTCTGCACTCGATGTGTGGCTTTGAAATTGCTCGCTCAATTGATCTGGAGACGAAACATTCGCCATTGCTCGCGATCTGAAGCTTATTACGCAAGCTCTATTCAGAACCGAAGACCTCGAGCGCCCATGCTTTCAAAGACAATGGTCAGTGGGAAACCAAGAGACAGGAAAAGGATAAAGTCGCTGCATTGGGTTTGCATTATTGGCCTTTGCCTGTACTTGGGAGCCAGTCCCCAGTCCCCACTGCTGTCCTTAGTCTTTATTGCCTCATCTTCACCTTTCTACCTCACTTTTCAGCCTCTCTCTCTCTCTCTCTCTCTCTCTCTCTCTGTTTTCCTTTTTTTTTTTTTTTAATAACTGAAACTCTTCCCGTTGTCTAGTCTAGTTGCCTTGGTTCGGATTGATATGCTTACTCGGTTACTCCTCCCCCTTCGATTTATTTCTTGAGCAGGGAACGAACCCTTTGGCGTAGAACTGTAAATGAGCGCGACTCAGGAGGTGATTAACCAAGAGGATTTAAAGTTTATGCTTATTGTTTAGACGTTGATTTTGTCACGCGCGCGTCAATCAATATATTAGTTACATTACGTTTACCCTGATGCAAGAGAAACTTTTTTCCGTTTAAACTTTTAAAAGTTACGATGAATTTACTACATTTCAATTTGAAGTCAATTTCCGTGTTCTAATTACAGGAGCACTAATATTATGATAATAATGAATAAAATTGTCTTTTTTTTTTATCAAAAACAAGTTGCATGAGTGCTCAGACCATGACAAGTAAAGCCAATAATTTGGATGGATTAGATTTATTCAAATCAGGCTTAAATTATTATACTTTGTTAAAAAAAAAACTCATGTAGTTAAGTCAGATTATGACTTTTTTCAATCGAATTCAGGCTAATTCGTTGGATTTGGTCAAAATTACCAACTTTATACACGTATAGAGCTGAGCACTCTATCATATTTTTAACCTTTTATCTTATTTCTCGATTACTTGTTTTTCCAATGGTGCACTCTATCAAGCCTTGTTTGCTTTGCTATAATCATTTTGATAGAAATGAAATTGAAAATAAAAATAAATTGAAATTGGAAAATGAAAAAGAACAGGATCTAGAAATATGTTTGGTATAACCAAAAAAAAAGTGGGTGGAATTTTTTTAATTATATTCATTAAATTAATTTTAAATTAGAAAAAGACAATACTATCCTCATTCACTTTCACACTATTTTTGCCCTCTTCCTTCCGAGTCATCGACGGCTACTTAACACAGAATCAACAATAAAGACTGTAAAATCATGTAAACTTTTAATCAATCAACAATTTTAAATCATGCAATAAAAGCAAGAAATAATGTATTAATTCTTAAATCTTGAGAAGTTTAATGTATTCTTCTTCTTCAAACCAATCACTAAACAGGGCCTTAGGCATATTCTTCTTGAAACCTAGACCTTCAAACTTAAACCCAAACCCTATAGCTTTAATGGTCATAGATCTTATTCTTTAAATTCTAGACCTATCAAACCCAAAACCCTTAGCTTTGTCCACAATCTTCTTCTTCTTCGAACCCCAAACACACAAACCTAACCCCACAGCCATCCCACTTCAGCTACAGTCATAGTGCTCTCCATAAAAGACAATGATGAGGGCGACAATGAGGAGTGCCAATGGATGATGAGGACACTTGGTTGGTAGATCAAGAAGAAAGTCGAAGAGGGGTACTAGAAAATTGAAGAATGACAAGTGGGTATTTAGGTCAAGAGAACACAGGCTTGGAACCTAATTTCCATTCTCTTTATTGAAATTTGATTACCAATAAGCTAAATTCCTCCTAACCAAACAAGAGAAGTTTCTCTTTCCTCCTCTTTTTACTTTTCTTAAGCCTAAATTCCTATGAAGCAAACGAGGCCTCATATTTCATTTAAAAATGAAACACTTAGATTTAAGCACCTAGAGACGGTGGAAAAATCTTTTCCAAGTACAAATATTTTAATAAAAAGGAGGCCCTTTAAATTTTGAGAATTCAATTCAAACTAGGGGTTCTGAAATAAAATTAAAATGTAAAGTAAAATTACTTCACTGTCCCTCGTCCCCTCTTATTATCTATTGAAGTTGTTTATTTCCCTACGTGAAGTTGTTCATTGGCCAACAAGAGTTATTTGTGCCATTACCAAATCTTGATTTTATTCTAAATATTGCAATCATGATAAAATGAATTATTTATTACCACACTGAAGTTGTTTATTGAACTAAAGAAATTGTTTTTGCCATTGCTAAATCTTAATTTTATTTCATGTTGTAGTCATAGTAAAACGGGTTGTTCATTTCTTTACAATGAGTTATTCATTAACCTATAAGGGTTGTTTGTGTCATTACCCATATTGTTTATTTCACCACATGAAATTGTTCAATGTTTACAGAAGTTTTGCATTACTACTAAATCTTGATTTTACTTCAAGTATTGTGATTATAGTAAAATGAGTTGTTCATTGCCTATATTAAATTTCCTCATTTCCTTACATAAAGTTGTTTGTTATTCCAATAGGTCATTGAGGAAATTCTTCTCTAAACTCTCTAAAATTTTCTTAAAAGTTTAGTTCCCAAGCAAAATATAATATAGTGGTAGAAATAAATATTTTAAAGCATGTATAATCCTTTACTGTGATGTTACTTTTTTGAAGATTCATGATTCTTAGCTAAGATGGTGTGGTCGTGAAGTCACAGAGGATGAGATCAAATAGGCTATTTTTAGTATGAGGGCTTTTAAATTACTAGGGCCAGATGGGCTCAATGCTTTTTTGTAACATCCTGATTTTTATATAATAAAGAAATTGTGGAATTTAGGTTTTGAGAAAAAAAATGATAATAATAGGAATTTATATTATTTGAGGTTATTTAGAAATAATATTATGATTAGGTATTTAATTATGAATTTAAAAATTTAAATTTAAAACCACATAAGCAATATTTAGTTAAGATATAATACATAAATAATTTTTTTTATGTGTGTGTTAAAAAAAAAGAGAAGGTAGAAGGAACAAAAAAAAGGGGGGGTGGAAGGTTGTTGTTTCTAAGTCCCACATTGGTTAGATGAGGGAAGAGAAGAGGTGCCTTCATGTATAAAAAGGAGGGGGTGTGTGCATTAGGAAGCATGAGAGGCTAAGATGCAATTTAGAGAAAATTGCAACTTTGGGCCCAAAGGTTTGAATAATTAAATTCAAACCTATAGTTTTTTTTAATATAATTTTGGGACTCACAATCCCATTTTTATATTATTTTTCTCTCTTCCTCTCACGTTGCTCGGCGTTTTCTCGCAAGGGGGGATTATTTTCTTTTTTCTTCAGGTATGTTCTAACTTTCCTGTTTAGATTAGCATTTAAAAATTTATTTAATTACAAAATTAATTTTATAGTTATTTTCTAAATAATATTAGCTTTCTAGTGATATGATTATTTTGTAGGATAGAGTAAATATTTTGATTAGGATTTTTCTATAGGATAGTTAATCTGATGATATGATGGATTAAAAATATAGGTTAAAATTCTTAGGGATATATAAATATTATAGAATATTTTCTTAAGGTTGAAACTCATGTTTAAGAATTTTTGAGTTAAAATCTAGATCTATATGGTTGAATTTATGTGGAATCTGAGATGTAGGGATAAATCTATGATTATTAAATATTTATTTAAGTATGAATAGGTATTTTTGAGGTTATAGAAAGGTGATTTGAGGCTTCAGGATAATTCTAAAATTTTTAATTTATTTTTGGATGAATTTTTAGAATGTAGAAGGATGAAATTGTGATACTAGAAGTGAATTGAGGATAAAAAAAAATAGTTCATTAGGGTACGAGAATTTTAGAAAAGAATTTGGGAAGTTAAATGAGGCATAAATCTTAAATTAGTGTTAATATGGACTATAGATTTAAGACTTTCTAACTCTTTAAATTAGAGTTATTTATTTTAATGTAAAATTAATATATAGTATTGTGAAATAATTATGTAGATTATATTGACAAAGATAGTGGTGAAAAAGGAGTTGTGAAGGGGAACTTGTTATTCAAGACACAAGGTAACCATTATTAATGTGTTGTGATGAGTGTGTTTGTGAATGGTTATGTGTTGTTTTGTTGTTTGGAAAAATTATGAATTATTGAAAATAAATACTGTATATACTTGTTTGAAATTATTGCCAAGTGGGTTAAAAATTTATTTTTGTTTATCATGATGAGATATTATTGTTCGGATATATTCCTGTTTGGATATTTGAATGATGCATGACTTGTCAGGGTATTTTAATGTATGGTGTTAATGGGAATTTCTGTTCGGTTAATTATTACCACGTGGTAAGCCCTCATTGGACCCAATGAGTGGCGTGTCGCTTGGTCCAACTCACCTTTGGCCGGGTGATTTGGCGTCCGAGCATGGTGAAAGGAGGATATAAGGTGCAGTCATGCAATTAAATACTTGTTCGGTTTGTTTGAAAATATTGTTCGGTTAAATGTTTTGTGTGCCCACTTAGCAATCGCATGATTAGTTACATCCGCATGCATCATTACATATTAATTTTTGGTTACTGGGACTTTTAAGTCTCATTCCCCGTGGTTAATATTTTTACAGGAGCGAATCCGGCCGAGAAAGCACCAGAGGTGTAATTATGGTGTATGAGACACCATCTTTTACGTTGCCTCTTATTTTGGATTATACAATGTATCTTGTGCCAACTTAGGACATATCTTGTCTATGGAGCATGTAAACTCTAATCCTTTTTATTAAATGCATTTATATGTCCAAGAGGATTATGTCTGTCCCTTTTGATTCATGACCTAATTTAAATAACATGCTATGAGGATCATGTCTGTCCCTCATGGTTCTAATTGCTTTTTGAGATATTTTAAGACCTGTGGTATATTGTCTTGGATGTATCATGGTAGAAATTTTTCTACCATGATAAGGGTATGATAAGGGTTCAATGAAAAAAAAATGATTTCTTGAATTAATAACTTTAAAAATCGGTTTGTAAATTTGAGGGTGTTACATATTGGTATCAGAGCATATAGTCGGTTGGCAATATACATTGTTATGGTGCTTCTCATTGTATGGCCATGATATAGCTAGGCTAATTTTATTATTTATATCTTGTATCCTTTAGGAGGGGAGAGAAAATGCCTGTTACTCGTGGTAACTCAGGATTCCAACATGAGCACCTGCCACCGCCACTGCCAAATGAGGAGCCTGACTTGGCGGAATTAAGAATGCTTGTAAAAACATTAACAGACAAGGTTCAAGGATACGAACAAGAGTTGACGGAGCTAAAGAGGC